TTGCAAATAACAATTACTAATCAAAAGTACTGCACAACACTACATAAAAATTTCTGAAAGAAAAATTTTAATGGCAACACAATGTTTACACAAGAATTATTGCAAAATGAATCAATGTTGCAATGATAAAAAAAAATTACACACACAAGAAAATACTGTTTACAAGAAAAAAAAATTATATCATCAAGGAATGAAGTGATTGAACACTTTAACTCTTAATTGCAGCTTAAGCAACACTTACTGAACAAACAAAAGAATGATTTACTTTAAAAGAAGAACTTAAAAATTGCACTAAGAGTGAATTTGTTCAATGAAATATAAAAATAATAGATGCAGAAACACAGAACAAAAAGGTTTGATGCAGAACACAACACGTCAATATAAACACAATACTGTAATTTTCTTGCTATGAAACTTGAGGTATGAAAAATTTGGAAAATAATTGTCTTGCTTGAACAAAATAATGGCACTATTGTCTGTGGAGATAAGACAAATTAGACACAAGTTAAATGAAAAGAATTAACACAAGAATGTTCAACACACAGCGAAAAATAAAATAAAGTGACAAATAAATGAAAACAAAAATAGAAAGAATACACAAATGCTGGGAGAAAAAATATAACAGACAACACTGAGTTGTGATGCAGAATATAAGGTAATAAATTACTGAATTACTTCACTGCAATACTGTGAACACAAGATAATTGTGAAGTGTAAACACAAACTCTATACTATTCTATACTATTCTATATATTGCACACAACAAGGAAAAACACTAAAGTACTTACTTCAAGTATATTTAAAAATAATAAACACAACACAACAAACATAAAAGGACGAAAATTAACACTGAAGAAAGAAGATAAAAAAAAATATTGCAAACAGTATATAATAAACACTGAGTCTAATCAAGAGTTACTGAATGTCACTAAGAAATCACTGGAAACACAAAAATGTCTCAACACTCGCAAATGTCTCTATGAAAAATATTATTCATTAACACTGTAGTGACTTGGTGTAAAATGAGGTAGATGGTGAAGGATGGTGGTGGTTTACTTGTGGCTGGCTGCGTTTGCTGATACTTTCCACACGTGATCGAAGAATTTGCGCTTAAATCGATGATGGACCCACACAGGAGGCTTTTTATGATGGCACTACTGACGAAGGAACACTCTGACTCTTGACCCCCTATGTGGTCCTTAAAAATATGGCGCTAGAAGCCGTAATGAGGGTACAAAAACAGTGGTAGTGGTTGAGGTGGGTAGGTGAGGCAGCGGTGGTGAGATACCGTGTGCTGACTGGGCCTATGGGATGAATGGCGTAAGCGGGGAACACCCGCACTAGGCATGAAGATATTCTAAGCCAGGCTGGCTTAAAAACAAACCCACAAAATACCACAACACCACAGGGATGATAAAAGCACTCAGAATGGCTAGAACTTGAAGCACAAAGCGATGAAGAAGACTGTACCCACGTGGCTTGCTTGAGTACTGGGTTAAGACACTTGGGTTAGTTGCTGGCTGGCTTGGCTTAACCCTTCACACAGACTGGCTTGATAACTTCTAACGATGAGCACAGCAGGGGTGGAAAGCTGGCTTGGCAGGCAAGGCTGGATGGTGTAAGGCTTGGGCTGACTGGGCTTGTTCTGACTCACCCACCACAGACTGGCTTGCTGGCTTGACTTACTTTGCAAACTCGGGTCAACCCCTTGGGAGTGATGCAAATAAGCAGAATAAACACTAATAGGCAGAGACTGACCAGTGAATAATGCAGAGGCTGGTAGACGCTTGCTAGGGTAGTGGCTAGGGGTAGGTCGGCCTACTGACCACACAAAATGTCCGTCGTCGGCTGCGAGAATTTATCTCCGTGCATCGGCATAATGATCAATTTTACGCCCACACCGCTGGCACCAATTTGTCGTGGGGGTTCGGAAGGAGATATGATGGTAGAAGATAAACACACTTGTGGATGGTAATGCTATATATTGTCATACTGTGGTAAGGGAAGGGCCCAGCCTGCCTGTAGATGCCTGGTATGTCTAAGCATGGACTGAGAGCGAGGTAGCGCGTCCCACTCACTCATGCCATATCCCGTGACATCATACAGTCACTAGGCCTAATAGGGATCTTCTATATATACACATGGATGGTACTATGATACTCAGCTAAGCTATACAACACATGTAAGGGGAGATCAGCAATTATGCTGACAGGATGTCATATCGACATACATAACATGTGCGACGGGCATACCATGATGTTCAATTTCCAGACTCTGGTCCAACATAACAGAAACATGACGAAACCCCCTGCCATAAGAAGCAATCCTGCACTTCTTGTATAACATTGTTTTATAAGGTTGTGCACAGTTGATTCCACTAAAAAACTATCGAGTTTGTACAGTCCATAATTTGAGTTATATATGTAATTCCTATCATGTTTCAAGAGGGATATATATATATATAATATATATATATATATTATATATATATATATATATATATATATATATATATATATATATATATATCTGTGCTGCCACATTGGCAGACACCTACTTGCCATACTCCATAGTTGAAGGGGGGTGGAGCTGCCAGCCACAGGGAGACCCAAAGTTCCTCAAAGAGCTGGGTGAAAAGCTCATCATAGAAACCAAGGACCACAGGGCGACCACCTTCCTCTTTCAGAGACTCAGTGTCACGATCCAGAGAGGAAATGCCTACAACATTCTGGGCACGATGCCCACTGCCGGGAAGCTGGACGAAGTATTCGAGATGTAGCATTGAGTTGTTATCTAGGATGTTTTACTTTCTATTGTATTTTTGTCTTTAAATAATAATATATATATATATATATATATATATATATATATATATATATATATATATATATATATATATATATATATATATATATAATATATATATATATATGTATATATAACATTGATTTTAAGGAATATTAAACAAATTTATATTAACCTATGAAGTATATTGCAGAATTTATATTGGCTCACAATTTTAAGTATTTTGTTTTAGATACTAATTTTCACATTATTAAACACAATTTTATATTATAGCATTTATTACATTGGCGGCATGTCTTAACACAATTTTATATTATAGCATTTATTACATTGGTGGTATGTCTTAACTTCTCCCAACAGAAAGGCGACATGAATATTGGCTAATATTTCGCTACCTTACTTTAGTGTTGGACCTCTGTCGAGGAACAAAATACTTGGGCCTTGTTTGACAACATCATCAAAATTCCAAAATCTTCTTCAATGGTCAAATTCACCTTCTCCAACATTGATATGGTTATCAAGGCATTTTCTGATGACCTAGCCTGCAGATGTTCCTGGTGTCTACTTTGTTTCTTGCTCCTCCTGTCCATTCAACACTTTGGAGAAACTGGTTGATCTCTTTCTGACAGACTTAGAGAGCCGACACTAACAATGCTCTTTTCTGTCACGTCAGAGATCACAGCCATCCTATTGACTGGTCTTCTGGTAAAACTGTCTTTCCTACTTCCAACTTTAACAGTCGCTGTCTGGTTGAATCCTCCCTAATACACAACTTTCCTTGTATGAATCTTAGTCCTGGCTTCGTCTCTGTAGATGCCTTCCTCTCCCACTACATTGTAAAATGCTCCAAACTTCAGAACACTCGTTACCTAACCTGATTCCTCCTTTTTTCTTCTCCCTCTTCCCTTTTCCTTTTTCCTTTTTCTCCTTTGGATTGTCTTTCTTCTGCCCTGTGTATTTGTTCCTTCTTTATTTACTTATTTATTTGTTTCCCCCCTCTGTGTTCTTGCTCTTACCCTCTGTGGGCACCAGGTCCCTTGCAGTGTTCCTCTTTCTTAGTATTTGATTGACCCCTCCTACTCTTACTACCTCCCCACTACTACTTCCTTCCCCCTTCACTACTACCACTACTACTACTACTACTACTACCACCTCTTGCCTATATATATCCATCCTGCTCTCCTTCTCGTTAGTGTGACTTTGTAAATAGTCCAAGTCGGACCGAAACGTCGTCGTAAACTCCTCTCTTCTATGTGCGGGTTATTTGTGTATCGTTCCAGTCACGGTATTGTGCCTTTTTTGTTATTTAAAAGCCTCGTAAATGGATCAGATACGGACAACACTGAAATTGTGAAATGTCGTCACAGCTCCCAATAAACCAATGCCTCTCAACTGACCAATCACCATGAAGCAGCCGTCCTTCCCCTTCTACACCATCCCGCCTTCCTGCCAACCTCCAGCCACCACTCACCATCAAGATTAAGACACACCCACCGATCAAGATTCAGCCAGCCCGTAACGTCCTGGTGTGTTCTCGTGCTTTCTACATGTGCTGCCAAGAAGAAGCATTCTCTAGTTAACGCATTGTTAATACAGAACATTGGCCAATTAGCCCCTACACAGCCTAATCCAATATTTTTTTTTTCATGCATCAGTGTTTGAAAGTGGTATTCTGAAGTTATTTGTACAGCATATAAAAAATATATTGCATTGTATTGTATTGTGCATACAAGTATACCACATTAATCTTGACATACGATTAATAAATTGGCACATACATAGATAAGTATGATGTAAGTTTGAAATCAATCAGAAGAGGCGTTTTCAAGATGTAGCACAGGAACCATGGAGGAAAACGAAATTCCAAAATCCCTCTCGAGGCTTCCTGCAGTAATTACCATCAACGAATAAGCTTCCCCATCGATGTTCATACATTCAGTGGGACCCAGGAATCAGCACCTGAATATTTTCATTGTTAGACAGTCGCTCTGATCCTACGATTCGACTAACCCAAGAATCGATCCTAGAGATGTTAGATGAGGATCTGAATTCGGGTATGTGTGTGTGTTTAAAGGTCCATGCTCGATTAAGGCAGGAAGGTGAACTGATCTTATATGCACTACACAAGGTATAGGGATAGGGTACTAAACAGGTCACTGCAGCAACCTCCATGTTACAATTAACGTTGATCACAGATTGTGGATGTGGAGAGCGGGGAGATGTTAGGCGAGCATCAGGAAGGTGAGATATGTGTGAAGGGACCCAACGTGATGTTGGGCTACGCTAACGACCCCGTGGCTACAGCCGCTACCATAGACCCTCAGGGCTGGCTTCACACAGGTGACATCGGCTACTACAACCAAGATAACTTTATCTTCCTCACAGACAGGATGAAAGACCTTATCAAGGTTAAAGGCTTCCAGGTGAGACCAAATACTCTCGTTACTAAATATGCAGGATCATCGTTGCACATATGTATCCCTGAACACTGAAGCAACTGTGATTGTAATTTGCATCAGTATTAACTATTAGAAACCTGTCAAAAGCTGAGGTAATGTTTGTTTAACGAGTATTCTACAATGACATTATTTACCATTTTCAGCTGCTACATCTTATTTCAAAAAGTTATATAAATATTAAAATCCATTTCGGATACGTTGTCACTGAAGATGATATTCATATAAAAACATCATTACTGGTATATAATTTTTGACAACTTCTTCTAATTTCTTAATAGTTCTTGTACTGACCTAACTTGTACTGAGTGTTGGGTAAGAGAACACAAATGCAACTAATGTGACATTTTATTGTGGCAACGTTTCGCTCTCCAGGAGCTTTATAAACTGCTTGATAAAGCTTATTGGTAATTTTCCCAACTTTAATACTCTCTTGTACTTACTGTATATTATTTCCTTTCAATAAGAATCTTTCCTCCGTAAACTATGTGTGTCGTACAAGGCGACTAAAATTCCATGAGTAAGGGGCAACTAAACCCTCCTGAATAAATTACTACAATTTAAGAGAACATTTTTAGGTTGTGATGTTTGAAGGTGCATGGATGTAGAACAGACGATAAGAAAGAGTTGGCTGTGAATGTTATGAATTAAAAGAAGTTGGATGTCTTTGCTCTAAACTAAATTAAGCCGAAGAGGGTAGATGTTCAATGGGACGAAATAAATGAAATTAGGTCTGATGTATCTGAGAGAGCTGGAGGTAAGGAAGGAGTAGCGGTTTTACTGAATGATCAATTATGAAAGGAAAATATATAAATGCACAAATTCAAACATTATAGATTAAAATAAGGGCAGGATGTGAAAAATCGATTATAATTTGTGTTTATTCACCCGGAAAAGAAAGAAATTAAGAGGAAAGACAGATTCTGGGAGATGGTAAGAGAGTGTTTAGGGAGTTTTGAACTAAGTGAGAAATTAACTGTGGCAGGGGATTTAAATATTAAAGTGGGAGAATCTGCTGTAGAGGGAGTAGTGGGGAAAATAATAATTGGGGGGAGAGACTTAATTGAACTTTGCATAGAAAAAGTTTGTTAATAAGTAATATGTATTTTAAGAATAAGAAGATAAATAAGTGTATGAGATATGATATAGAGTATATTGACAGTAGTTTGTTGGACTTTGTATTGGTAAATAAAAGGCTGATGGGTAGACCTCTGAATGTGCATGTTTTTAAAAGAACAAGAGATATATCAAATAATTACTATTTAGTTGTAGCTACTGTGAGTGTAAGAGGTAAATGAGGTACAATGAGAATGTCATAAGTGAATATAAGAGGCGTGAAAGTTTATAAATTAAAGGAGGAAGAAGTTATGGTAATATAAGGAACTGTTGCCGGAACGATGGGCTTGCGAGAGTATAAATAATGAGGAGGTTGAAGAGGTATGAAGTTGATGTAAGAATGCATTGTTAGAATGTTCAGCAGAAATTTATGGATATAGAAGGGTGGTTACAGGAGGGAAAGAGAGAAAAAATAGCATATGAGAGATTGTTACGAAGCAGAAGTAATATAAGAAGGGTGGAGTTTAATGAGAGTAAAAGAGTAGTTAAGAGAAACGAGGGAGAGTGAGAGGTGAGCAAATTAGAAAGTAGATAAGATTCTGTCATCAAATTTTACTGAAAATAAGAACAAGTTTTGGAGTGGGATTAATAAGTTAAGAAAGCTTAGAAAAGTAACGGATTTAATAGTTAAAAACAAGAGAAAAATTATTAAATCAGGAGGTGGAGGCATTGGGAAAATGAAAGGAATAGTTTGAGGATTTGTTAAATTTGCGGTAAAAGGGAGGCAGTGATTTCAGTCATAGGGCAGGGAGTTATAACATCGTATAGGAGTGAGAAAGAGCCACATGTGAGTGTAGGGAAGGTGTGAGAGGAAGTGGGCAGAATGAAAGGGTTAAAGCTGCTGGGATTGATGGAATCAGTTCAGAAATGGTCAAAGCAAGTGGGAATATAGTTTTAAAAGCTCCTGGACATCCACTCGATGGACACTGTGCCGACGGACACTTCACTGAAGGACATTTGACCAAACGGACATTTAACCGATGGTCATTTTCACCGAATGAACATATGGCCGAACTGGCATTCATCACCTAACGTAACCTAACCTAATTATCTATTCGGACTATTGTCCGTTCAGCCAAATGGCTGTCGGCGCCATGTCCGTTCGGCCAATTGTCATTCGGTCAAATGTCTGTCGGCCAGCTGTCTATCGGTCATCTGTTTGGCCACGGTTTTAGAGTGGATGGTGCATTTGTTCAGCAATTGTATGAAAGGGTAAGATACCTAGGGATTGGCAGAGAGCATATATAGCTCCTTTGTATCAAGGAAAAGAGAAGAAAAGAGAGTGTGAGGTTTATGGAGGAGTAAACCTATTGATTATGAGGTAAAGTTTATGGCAGACTAATTACTAAAAGAAGACAGAGCAGGATCACAAAGGAACTTGGGGATTTTGTAAGGAAAAGAGTGGGGTAGATAGGGAAGTAATGTGGCAAATGCTGCAAGTGTATGGAATAGGTGATAGGTAACTCAAAGCGGTTAAGAGTCTTTTGAGGATAGTGAGTCTAAAGTTAGGGTGTGTAGGAGAGAGAAAGATTATTTTCCAGTAAAAGTAAGCCTTAAATAGGATGTGTGATGTCACCATGTTTTTTTTTAGGATAATTATATTGGAGTTGTAAAAGAAGTGAATGCTAGAGTGATGGGGATAAGTAGTGGATTACAATCTAAATAATCTAATACAAGGAGGGAGTTGCCGCAGTTGTTCTTTTGCTGATGACACTGTGCTTTTGGGAAACTGTAAAGTGAAGTTGCAAAGGTTGAAGGACGAATTTGGAAGGATATTATGGTAAAGAAGGAAATTAAAAGTGAACACAGGAAAGAGCAAGTTGATGGAGGTAACAAAAAATAAGTAAAGGAAGATTGGATATCAGATTGGAAAGACGGGCTATGGAGGAAGTGAGTATGTTCAGATATTTGGAAGTGAATTTTCACCGGATGGGTCTATGAAATACCAGGTGACCCATCAAAATGACGAGGGAAAAAAGGTGGGTGATGTTTTGATGCAGCTGTGGGGACAAAGAATGTTATCAATAGAGGTAAAAAGGTGAATGTGTGAAAGTATACCAGTACCAACACTTTTATGTGGGTGAGAAACATGGGATGTCGAATGTGGGTGAGAAACATGGGATGTCGAATGTGGGTGAGAAACATGGGTTGTCGAATTTTGCAGCAATGAAGAGGCTAGAAGCAGTGAAGATGTCGTGTCTGAGGGTAATGTGTCACGTAAATATTATGCAGAGAATTTATAGTTTAAAAATTAAGAGGTGCAGAGTTGCTAAAAGTATTATCCAGAGGGCTGAATGGGGGTTGTTTAGGTGGTTTGGACATTTAGAGAGGGTGGAGCAAAATAGAGTCACTTGGATGTTATATTAATCCATAGTGGAAAGAAGGAAGGGTAGGGATCGCCCTAGGTAAGGTTGGAGGGAAGGGGTAAAGGTTTTGTATGCATGGAACTTGAACATCTGAAAAACGTGTGTGAGGGTGTTAGATAGGGGTGAGAGGAGGCGAGTGGTTTTTATGACTTGACGTGCTGTTGGAATGTGAGCAAGGTAACTTTTATGAAGGGATTCAGTGAAACCGGTTAGCCAGACTTGAGTCCTGGAGGTAAAAAGTACACTGCCTGCACTATGAAAGAATGGGGGGATATGTGCGCCTCAGGCAAGACAGTGATAGAGTGAATAATTGTGAAAGATTTTTTTTTTAGAACGACAGTGCCTCGTTGGGAGACTGCCGGTGTGCTACAAAAATTTTTTTGATTTGGTAAACAAATGTCAGGACCTTGTAGGTATGTTTATAAAAATAAACATTTGCTTTTCGCAATCATCTTTATTGATTCTCAACACTTATTTTAGAGATGCACAAGACCATAATTACCGAGGTTATACACACCCAGATGTAATTCTCTGAGGTACGCACCTATGATAGTTGACAGGTGAAGTCCAGTCTTCATAGCATGAGTCACCGATAGGCTTTCAACCCAATAATTATTCATTCTCGTTTACCACCGTCCTTTAATGTGATTTTTACTGTCCTTTTTAAATTATTATCTCAGTGATCATTCAGTTCATTGTTCTTCTTCTGAGCTATTTTGTTTAGTTAATGCTATAGTTGGTGTTTAAATAAGTTAACTTGCTGTCTCGTGTTAAAAATTAACCTTTCCTCTGGCTATGGTAAAGATCTTGGAACTTTAGTAAACATGAACCAAAGGTCGTGCATTTCGTTATTTACGAAATCTCATTGAAATTGTATTAGTCATTATTTTCTGTTTGATTTAATAAATGTATATTTCTTTTATCTGCTTATAATTTTCTGGTAATAATGCAGAGTAGCGCGAAGCGTACATCTACATTACAAGAATACAGTACCACAAGCATGGTAAAAATAGAGGACGAGGAATTGGAGGATGAGGTGAAGTCATTTAAAATACCAAACAGAACACGATGGTACAAATATGATATCTTACTCTAACTCGAAAACGGAACTGACTATAGACTCTTGATAATACCTGCTTTCTAAGGTGTAGGAAATATTTTTGAGAATCATAAATGCAAACAAGAAAACTCTAACTTTCTTCAGTTTCCCATTTAAAATTAATTAGTCAGTGAACTATTGTCAAGTGACATTGAGCGTTATATTGAGAAGTACGAGGTTTTCTCTGTTATTGTGTACGGTGCAGGTATCTCCCACTGAGCTGGAGAACGTCATCATGAAGTGTGAGGACGTAGCTGACGTGGCAGTTGTGGGTGTACCTCATGAGAGGATGGGTGAAGCACCGCTAGCGTTTGTAGTGCCCAAACCTGGTTCCAAGCTACAACCACACCAGCTGATGCAGTTTGTTGCTGGTAAGCTCTATACAACTCTTATTACAAACCACATTTCTAGGCAGTGTTTTTCCTATCAGGTTCAAATACGTATGTCAAGAATCACTAGAATTTAATTAACCAGTCGAAATAAAAACGCTAAAATTTTAAATCCACCTTCGTTAATGTTTTATATATGTTAAAGGAGATCGTGATAAACTTAGCGAATTTGCACCTACATAGTTTAGTAACAGTTAAATTCATCTAAGTAAGATACACCGGTATTTTTTTGGTTTGAAACCGGTTGGAAAACGTGTTTTCAAGTTATCGTTCGGAAACTTCCTCATGATTTGCACTGATAAAATTGGTGCCTTCCTCTACGTGAGACACACCGGTGATGTAAGTTTGTACAGGAAATATTGGAGAAGTTTGGAGGAAGTTAAAACATTCGGACAAAAATGACAATGAGAGGCGCAAGAAATGGCATCTCACAGAGATCACTGATAGAACTGTTGTTGTTCCTTAAGGGAAGAAGTCTTATCTCTCACTGTTTTCTGGTTATACAAACCTAATGGAAATAATATCAGGAGAGGACAGGGATAAGAGGTGCAGATGTGGTCCAACAAGTGTCTTCTGGAGTTCGTTTCAGACGAACTGTAGGTGAGGTTAGATCAGACTGAGTGCAGAATGGGAGGAGAGAAGTGGCACAATCCAGTAATAGAAAATAACCTTGGAGTGAATACAACACAAAGCATATTACTGGAAATTCACGCTAACTATATAACACCAGCGACATATACAGGACTAGCAAACCGTAAAATAATATTCAGGAGACCGAATAAAGATTCCTCAGAGCACTGTAGTTGACATATGCTAGACCTGTCACTGAGTACATTTCGTGGGTCTAGTGTACCGCCCTCACCTGACCCAGTACTTGAAAAAGCTTGAAAAATCCAAATAATTGCAACCAGACAAGTTCCAAAACTGAGAGAAATCCATTATGAAGAAAGGTTGAAGGAAATGACCCTAACAGCCTTGGCAGAGAGGAATGGGGGAGACATGACGCACGTCGTCATTAGTTTCAGTCTCGTATGTGCGGATTATTTGTGCTAAGGCCCCATAGAGGGCATAATGCATCATGTCTTTTTTAACAGGGTTATTTTTATTATTAACACATCAGCCGTTTCCCACCAAGGCAGGGTGGCCCGCAAAAGAAAAACTTTCATTATTCATTCCATCACTGTCTTGCCGGAAGCGTGCTTACACTACAGTTATAAAACTGCAACATTAACACCCCTCCTTCAGAGTGCTAGCACTGTACTTCCCATCTCCAGGATTTAAAGTCCGGCCTGCTGGTTTCCCTGAATCCCTTCATAAATGTTACTTTGCTCACACTTCAACAGCATGTCAAGTCCTAAAAACTATTTGTCTCCATTCGTTATGTAACACGCTCACGCATACTTGCTTTAATTCCAAGCCCCTCGCACACAAAACCTCCTTGACCCCCTCCCTCCAACCTTTCCAAGGCTGACCCCTACCCCACCTTCCTTCCACTACAGTTTTATACATTCTCAGGAGGAGCCGGATCCTACACTTCGAATAGCTTATTATTTATCAATAACTTAGAACTTAGGTTTATTAAGCCTAATTTATAATCATAAATAGCCTGATAACACTGTAGAATGATTTTATTACAGTATGTATACATTTACATTCATTAAGCATTTTCCAAAATTCTACGGGTGGTAATCAACCAGCTTGTGTCTTCTTCCCCCTCGAGGCTACAGCCGTGTTCTCCAAGCTTACTCTACTGAAGACTTCCAAAAATATTAAGCTTGTCCTTATAAATTACATGTCCAGGAAGTAGGGTTATACAGTATAAATAAACCAGCTTGTATGTTACAGATCGTGTGTCCCAGTACAAGCAGCTAGCAGGCGGGGTGAAGATGGTTGAGTCTATACCCAGGAACTCTTCAGGAAAGTTACTGAGGAAGCAACTTAAGAACTTACTGATCCCGGCTGCTAAACTGTAAGATTTTTGAAGACACTAACAGATGGTGGAGGGCCATGATCATTCCTGAAGAAGATGTTAAATAAATGAAAGTATATCTCCAGCATCCGTCACTGAACTATTATACTAAGATATTATGTAGGTGTAGTTATATGCGGAGGTAATGTGGCATTAATAGTAGCAACCCTCAAGAAAGAGCATACACACGTAAGTTATTATGCTATTCATGAGGCAGCTCTAAACCCGAAGGGTAATTTAATGACTAGGGAAAGGAAGGTAATTAGGTTTGATCCAAAGTGAGAGAAGAGAGAGCACTTCAATAGCATCAAGACCTCTTTCTCTTTCTCTCTTAGAGACACTACGTAGGAGATTCCAGTACTGAATAGCAGTACGTAGGTGACCATGTTCACGTGTCATCATTACAATCTCATGTTACAACTCATTCAACTTTCATTACTGTTTGAAGTTTTCATCAATTATTCTGTTGTATCACAACACTGAATGACAAGTTTATTAATTTTGTGAGCGTAATAATTCTTCCGTAACATTTACATTTCACTGATGTTGATAAAATGGAGAAAATGTGACCATAAAATTATACTTTAGGCCGTTAAAGAATTTCATCATATTTTAGCATCGGTTCTCTGAACCATTCATCTATATTTTAGCATTATAACTAAATGATTATCATTGTTCAATTAATTTGAGTAACCAAACTTTCTACAACTGTTGGTACGTTGTCAGATTTGATCCTAAGATGGGAAGATCAGCTTTAGTAGACTGAATTATGTCATTCACTTGTATTAAGGAACCATTCTTGAAGGACTCGTTAATGTAAGATTCATGGCCAAACATCCTCAGTTCTACTGAACATCAGAATATAAGATAAACTGTTAATGGTATGACACGAACTAGGCAGGGACGACACATTGAACAGGCACGACAAACTAGGCACGGTCGATAAACTGGACAAGTAAGACACACTGAGGAAGGACGACAGGAACGACACACTGGGCAGGAGAGAATACGTGATCTGGATGCCCATGACTCCCTATATATCCTCACAAGGTGTCTAACTCTGCCAAGAATCACTTACTTTTTGAGGTGTGACCCTCTTAACACTCAGTGAATATGACGCACTCCTGAGATCTATCTTTACGATGACACTAACAAAATCTGTTATTGGAAGATTACCAATGGAAACGTGTAACTCTTCCAGTACGGCTGCTGGGAGGCACAGGAATGCTCAGAGCAACGCGGGTAGCATTACCTGTGTCAAGAAATACCCCTGCAAATTAGGGATTAAGGTATTTTAGATTCCGAGAGACTGCAACAAGTGGCCGCCAACACTGCCATCTAGTGGGCAGTTGTAAATATGCGGATTTCTACGGGTCTGAGGTTTTAGTTTCTAATCTCAGTAATATTATCCTTACTCGGTTATGTTTGGAGTTGGGGTAATCACTAACCTTCACTCTTCTGAGCAGGTAAGGTGATCTACCAGGTTTTGGGGTTTAACCTGGTTACCGGTAATGACATGGAAGTAGTTACCAGTCTTATCATTCTATAATGGTATACTTTGTTAACTGTCACGTAACTAGTGTTTTATTATTATTATTATTATTATTATTATTATTATTAGCAGTCTCTTGCTGCCGGCGGGGTCACCCTGCAGCAGACTCTGACAAATTGGGAGCTAGATCCACAGCTACAGGACTTAAAGTGGGAAATAGGCGATTACACGTCTCTCCCTCACATCTAAAGTGTGCAACCACCAATCAAGGTAGGAGATTCTCTAACTATAGAAGATCATGAATACCTCAGTTGACTCAAGAATTAAAAACATCTAAATACCTGGACGAAGACATCTATGCTGGAATGTATTCTCTTTCCTTATTACAAGCTTTAAGTTTGATTCCTAAATAATATGTGTAAAAAAATAACTTTTTTTTATAAATAATGAAAAAAAAAAACTTTTACTGACAGGAGAATAACTTTTGAGAAAATCACCAAAATAAAATTTATAACCACGAAACATCAGTATTGGTTCTCCAACAATGTTGGCATGTGTATCTGGAGGGAATATGAAGTACAAACTTGACCAAGGATTTAAGCAGAAAGCAGTCCACCAGCCGTGAAAGTCAGAGCAAAGCACAGCTGCATCATACTCCCTTTTAAATTCAAGTGATAACTGGAAATCTTAATATGATGCCTTCACCGATAAGAGATGAACTTTGTCCCTTTCCCTAGGCATTCTTGACCATTGTGTTCCTTCGAGGGAGTTTTTGATGCTGGTGAGGGGCTGTTGATTTAGAAAATTGGATCTGTGCTCTAGTTCCCTGAATTGAGCCTGAATGCCTTCCATCCCCTGTCCACTGGCGCTCTCCGTAATAATAATAATACTGAGGATTGAGTGGGCGTTTTTCTCCATAATCGAATTTGTCCCAGTGTGATCTCTGGGAAGAGTTGGTCTGCTTGAAGAGTCTGCAAGGCTCTCCCAGTGCATGGCTGCTTCGATGAACTTCGGGAAGTTTGCTCCTAAAGTACCTCTCAAGCATCGGGGACAATCTGCTTAATTAGTTCACTGAAGTCATTCACGAGGACAGTAATGCAGGTAATGCTACCTGCGTTGCCTTGAGCACCCATATACATCCCAGTCGCACAGGATGAGTTGTTTGATCCCATTGGTGATCTTCCGGTGACAAATTCATTGCCTTTCTAAAGATAAATCTCATGAATGCCTCATTTTCACTGAGTGTTAAGTTATCGAAGAAGGATGCACCCCTGAAGGAGTTATTCTAAGCAGAGTTAGATACCTTGTGAAAAGATACAGGGCGTCATGGGCATCCGGATCACTTATTCTCTCCTCCATCCTCTTCAAGTCATTCAATTTGTCCTTGAGGACTTTGTTGATGGCCTGATGACCCAGCATTGCTCTAAATAGGATGTTCTTGGACAGAGTGGTAGTTGAGGCTTTAAGAAGGATTGTTCGCACAACCGTAATTATTTCCAGAGAAGACACTGCCGAGAAGAGATACATAGTCCTCCCCACCAACTCCATTGCCAAACATGTTTCCAACATCTTTTCCAATACATCATTCCAAGTATCTACCTCCACAACCACGACCATCAAGGACATCACCAGTAGTTGACAGGACAAGCTTCCATCCTCAGCAGGGGTATACATAATCCCTTGTAATGACTGCAACAAATTATATGTGGGCGAAACATCAAGAGACCTCCAAACACGTATTTCAGAACACCAATATGCAAGCAGGACTGACGATACAAGGAATGCCTGTGTACAACATCGCAATTCACACAACCATTTAATTAACTACAGAAACTCAAGACTTATCGCCACAGAAGACAACACTCAATACCGAAGAATCCTGGAATCATCGCTTATCTCTATAACCAACAATTTCAACCAGAACAACGGCTTCTATAACATAGCTGAACCACTCGCCAAGAAACTTCTTCATCGCTATCCCACATAAGAACATAGAACACTGCAGAAGGTCTACTCACAACTTGTCCAATACCCCTGCCAAGCTACCCAAGACTCTATAATCCCACCCGGCATTCTCCACCTGACCTCAACATTCTGAACATGACTATAAATACTCCCGTACCTTCCAACCCCAGGTAGATCTGTGTGTGACTTGAAAAAACCCACTGTGTGGGTGAAATGTTGTCAATAAAGGATCACATTAAACTGCATATGTGTTTATGTTTCTATTTCCTGGTTTGTTGAGATGATTTCATACTTGGAAGGATTGAGAATGAGTCCTAAAGTTTTTCCCTGTGACTTCAACAGTTGAAGGTGTTCTAGCAGGGACTCTTCCGTGTTTGTCAGAGTGCCATTATCCAGGTGCCAGATATATTAAGGATGGGACTATACCCAGATTTTGTCCGGTACTGGTACCTAGTTTTCGACCGATACCAGTACCGATACTTTTTCTGTATTTATTTTTTAACAATTATGATAACTATGTTCGATATACAATGAAATATTTATTACACAAAGAGTATTAAATAACCAAAGGAAGTTAAATATTAAATAACTTAATTTCTTTGAGATGATGCTTCCAGAGCCTTCTTCATTTCTTTCTCCTCTTGTCCTCTCCAGTACTTTCGAAAAATTGGCCGCTCTCTTTCTAACAAACTTAAAAAACATAAAAGAAGTGTTAGACTTCCCGACACTAATATTGCTCTTTTCTGTCATGTTGGAGATCAGAGTCGTCACATTAACTAGCTCTTTGTCAAAACTTTCTACCCTTCTTCTAGTCTTCACAGTCGCTGTCCTGTTGAAGCCCTTATACACATCTTTTCTAATATGAATCTTAGTTCTGGCTTTGTCTCTGTGGATGCCTTCCTTTCTCATTGCACTGTCAAATGCTCCAAACTTTAGAAGACTTATGACACGACCTGATCTTTATCTCTTCCTCTCCTTACCTATTCTCCTTTCCTATATTTTCTTCATGTTTCCTTTCTTCTGTCAAGGTGAGTTCTATCATAGGAGCTTTTTCCTTTGTGTTTTTGTTCCCACTCTCTGGGCCATTAACTCTCGTACAGTGCTTTTTCTGATTTTTTCTCTTGCCCTTAGACGAGTTGTACGATTGCAAGATGCTTAGTAAAAGCTGTCTGCTCTGTGCAGGCATCCTGGTCTGTTTATGTTAATTTGAGACAGAACACCAATGTTAGCCTGAACACATAAAAGAGCTACAGTCAAAATTATGTTCTTCAACGCTTTGTGGCAGCAGACATGATGCATAGGATTCATTTGTATACATGTAAGCAGACAATCATAACGCTTTCCTTAAAGGCGTATTCAAGTTAAAATTTATTTATGTAACATAGAACAACATATGCTGCCACTGTATTAAATGATGGGTTAATTCTGACTTCAGATTCAGTTTTAGCATGCCAAAAAATAGCCTAAAATTCTTTTATTTAAGTAGCAAATTTATTGTTGTCCACTGTAAAAAAATACTCGTATTAATACTTTGAATAAGTTAAACGATTTGTCTAATTTCACCTGGGAGGACCGATAGATTCTTCTTTACCTCATTCGGCCTCAGTCTAAGATTATGGATACTAAGTTCAGAATTTTCCTGCGGTTCCAAAGCAACTGCTTCTGGGCAAGAAGTTCTTCATCAAAGATGATACCTGTAACACATGATAAAAAGGCCAAAGCATTAAAATAAATTTTTCATAATTATTAATAGAAAAAAAATATGGAATTCTCTGATGAGGCTAACAGAACACACTTCGAATAAATTGAGCTGTTTCTTAAGTATATTACTGTAGGTTGTAAACACCTTTCTTTAAAATGCCATTGTTACTTAGAAAAACTTGGTGGAGTTGTATTATATATTAGTGGAGTATTTGTGATGTATGCGTGAACAAGTTTAGATGACTTGTGCAGGACAATTACTTAAGGCCAAATCAGGTAATTAATATTTATTTACGATCATGTTAAGTATCCTGAGGAAGTTCCTATGCGTAGTATAATACTAAGGCCATTCTTAAAGTCCTCATTAGGTTTACTTCCCATTTTGGCATTCTACGATCCATTCATAGTGACCAAGACACTAATTTCAAAACAATTGCGTGTTATTCGTACGTATATATACGTACCTATAGCATGCATTTTCCTCCAGATTGGATGAATCTCTTACTCTGTTACTGTTTGTAATGCGAGAAACTGTGCAGGAATCAACAGGGTACAGTCGCTTTGAGATGATTTTGAGACATAATATGAGAAGTCTATTACACGTGCTTGAGGAAGAATGGTTTGACAAGACACCTGCAAGATGTCCTACGATCCTTAATCAAGATTTGGCTTGGCATATCAGTTGTCTAAGGCCAACCTAACATTAGCTCAAAGCAACGTGAAACAAAGGCATAAAACTTCAAAGTTTCGTGCCTTTGACCCAATAGATAAGGTGACCTGGAACCAGTTCCAGGTCACATCTTAAAAAGGAGATTTAAGGGTCCGATGCAGGTGATAAAAATGAATTCTTTCTTAAACTACGTGGGTATACCCAACATGGGTAAGGTCTAACAATAATAGGATTAAAAAAATTTTTAAGTCACCTCAGGTCCCAGTAATGCCTTTTGTCCTCTGTCCCAGACCCTGATGACGACCCTGTTCCTGAGGTTCCTAACTCAGCCATCCTCCAAGATCTTCTATTATGTCGGGACTTGCAGAAGCTCAACTAGTATAACTCACTACCCCTCTGCAGACCTATCCTGACATGTTTCCGGATGTTCCGAAAAAATGCAACCTGGGCTGTGGTAATGTGGATGTAGGAACTGCTAAACCTATTAATCTCTCCCTAAAGAGCTAATCCTGAGAAGCAGAAACTACTTCAGAGTCAGTTTCTGCTAGAACATGGATTGTTTGAAGAGTCGTCTTGCCCGTGGGCTTCGCCTTACATCCTTTTTTTATATTATTTATTCATTATTATTTGGACATGATACATAGTTGTACAAAAGAAATACAGTGGTTGAGTGTACATGCCATAAGCCCCTTGTATGCAGAGTATTATGGGCAGGCTTAAAATTAACTTAAGATTAATTAAGCAATGATATATTCAGTGGTGAAAATACAGTAAACAAATTACAACATGAAGTTCGAATGAGTATTTCAAGTAAGAGGCTTTGTAGTTGTACAAATTTGTAGCATATTTGATGAGTTACTAAGCATTCAAGAGAATGGAGTATTCTATTAGGTAATGTAATTACAAAAAAACATAGTTTGATAGGGTCACAGGTTATACATTTATGAGATACAATTAATTAGTATTTATTTAGTTGTGGGTGAGTAAGTGGTTTTTAAGAAGAGTCTTCAACTGATAAACAGTGTTTCTTTTACATTTACAGGTAATGAATTCCGGATTTCTAGGCCTTTTATGTGCATTGAGTTTTTGCATAGTGTGAGATGGACACGAGGAACATCAAAGAGTGATCTGTGCCTTGTGTTATGGTCGTGTTCTGTTGAGGTTGGTAAGGAGAAGTTTGAGGGGAGGGTTTATATCCGAGTTAAGTGTTCCATGTATGTAGTAGGTACAATAATAAGTATGGATGCTTTGTACGGTAAGTTTAGAGTTTTGAATATTGGTGGAGTATGCTGTCTGTAGTGGGAATTTGTTATCATTCTGACTGCAGCCTTTTGTTGGGTAATTAATGGTCTGAGATGGTTTATTGTTGTTGAGCCCCATGCACAAATTCCATAGGTGAGATAGGGGTAAATAAGTGAGTGATATAGGGCCAGGAGGGCTGACTGTGGAACATAGTACCGTATCTTCGATAGTATGCTGGAGTTTACCTGGAGTTTACCTGGAGAGAGTTCCGGGGATCAACGCCCCCGCGGCCCGGTCTGTGACCAGGCCGCCTGGTGGATCAGAGCCTGATCAACCAGGCTGTTGCTGCTGGCTGCACGGAAACCAACGTACGAGCCACAGCCCGGCTGATCAGGAACTGACTTTAGGTGCTTGTCCAGTGCCAGCTTGAAGACTGCCAGGGGTCTGTTGGTAATCCCCCTTATGTATGCTGGGAGGCAGTTGAACAGTCTCGGGCCCCTGACACTTATTGTATGGTCTCTTAACGTGCTAGTGACACCCTGCTTTTCATTGGGGGGATGTTGCATCGTCTGCCAAGTCTTTTGCTTTCGTTTGTGAGTGATTTTCGTGTGTAAGTTCGGTACTAGTCCCTCTAGGATTTTCCAGGTGTATATAATCATGTATCTCTCCCTCCTGCGTTCCAGGGAATACAGGTTTAGGAACCTCAAGCGCTCCCAGTAATTGAGGTGTTTTATCTCCGTTATGCGCGCCGTGAAAGTTCTCTGTACATTTCTAGGTCGGCAATTTCACCTGCCTTGAAAGGTGCTGTTAGTGTGCAGCAATATTCCAGCCTAGATAGAACAAGTGACCTGAAGAGTGTCATCATGGGCTTGGCCTCCTAGTTTTGAAGGTTCTCATTATCCATCCTGTCATTTTTCTAGCAGATGCGATTGATACAATGTTATGGTCCTTGAAGGTGAGATCCTCCGACATGATCACTCCCAGGTCTTTGACGTTGGTGTTTCGCTCTATTTGTGGCCAGAATTTGTTTTGTACTCTGATGAAGATTTAATTTCCTCATGTTTACCATATCTGAGTAATTGAAATTTCTCATCGTTGAACTTCATATTGTTTTCTGCAGCCCACTGAAAGATTTGGTTGATGTCCGCCTGGAGCCTTGCAGTGTCTGCAATGGAAGACACTGTCATGCAGATTCGGGTGTCATCTGCAAAGGAAGACACGGTGCTGTGGCTGACATCCTTGTCTATGTCGGATATGAGGATGAGGAACAAGATGGGAGCGAGTACTGTGCCTTGTGGAACAGAGCTTTTCACCGTAGCTGCCTCGGACTTTACTCTGTTGACGACTACTCTCTGTGTTCTGTTAGTGAGGAAATTATAGATCCATCGACCGACTTTTCCTGTTATTCCTTTAGCACGCATTTTGTGCGCTATTACGCCATGGTCACACTTGTCGAAGGCTTTTGCAAAGTCTGTATATATTACATCTGCATTCTTTTTGTCTTCTAGTGCATTTAGGACCTTGTCGTAGTGATCCAATAGTTGAGACAGACAGGAGCGACCTGTTCTAAACCCATGTTGCCCTGGGTTGTGTAACTGATGGGTTTCTAGATGGGTGGTGATCTTGCTTCTTAGGACCCTTTCAAAGATTTTTATGATATGGGATGTTAGTGCTATTGGTCTGTAGTTCTTTGCTGTTGCTTTACTGCCCCCTTTGTGGAGTGGGGCTATGTCTGTTGTTTTTAGTAACTGTGGGACGACCCCCGTGTCCATGCTCCCTCTCCATAGGATGGAAAAGGCTCGTGATAGGGGCTTCTTGCAGTTCTTGATGAACACAGAGTTCCATGAGTCTGGCCCTGGGGCAGAGTGCATGGGCATGTCATTTATCGCCTGTTCGAAGTCATTTGGCGTCAGGATAACATCGGATAGGCTTGTGTTAATCAAATTTTGTGGCTCTCTCATAAAAAAATCATTTTGATCTTCGACTCTCAGTCTGGTTAGCGGCTTGCTAAAAACTGAGTCATATTGGGACTTGAGTAGCTCACTCATTTCCTTGCTGTCATCTGTGTAGGACCCATCTTGTTTAAGTAGGGGCCCAATACTGGACGTTGTTCTCGATGGAGATTCTCGGATGTATACAGATTACCGAAAGGTAAATAAGGTCACAGTACCAGATGCTTAATCCCTTCAGCATATGGACGACATGTGGGTGAAGCCTCTGTCGTTTCCAAACTAAACCTCCATAAAGCATATTATAAGGGAAATAATTTACATCGTCCACAGTATCCGTGTATGTTTAGTAATAAAGCTTTAAATAAAGCTTTATTACTAAACATGGATAAAGTTCTTTGTCTCCATACACTCCTCAGTGCACCACTCACCTTTCTCCCCTCGTGTGTGTGTGTGTGTGTATACATATACATATATAAAATATATATATATATATATATATATATATATATATATATATATATATATATATATATATATATTATAATATATATATATACTAAATATAGGGAGGTACCACCTCTATAACTGGACTGGGGACCCTCATCCTCTTAGAAGAGAATAAACGTACCCCAGAGAAAACTCAAGGTTCTTCCCAGAGCTGTTTGAATATTTTCTTCTCCTACTACCACCCCCTGTATTTTATATTCCATGGGAAAATTTATTATTAGACAGAATACATTTACAGAAAACACAAATATGAATACAATGGTACAATATATCAAAGATTATGAATTTCCTCCAGCTCCTCCGAAGCTGGACGCGAGCCAAGTATGCAGCAAGCATTTCCCCTCTGGATGGCCATGCTGAGGCGCTGGAACATGAAAGTGGCTGTCCTTGGGTCCCTGGTGGTGTCGAGTCTGGAAACCATATCTTTGAGGAAACAAGTGGCATTTTTCCCCATGATCCCAAGGTCTCTGATCCCACTAGGACAAATTAATACTATTGGCTTATGTCCCTGTACTTGCTGATCTTGTACTCCTCCCTGTGATCAGCAGCTCCTCCCTGTCGCCTGGCTCTGTGATGGATGTAGGTGTCAGCAAACATCGACACACAGCTATAGTCCCATGCTAAGAGCTTTTCATTCTTCTAAAGATAGATGGTAATCCTATCGGGGCAGTTTGCTGGGTTGTGGGTATTGTTAGCTGCTAGTGCTCAGGGCTCTCTCTCGGCTGGGCATCCAGCTGTAGCAAGGGTTCTCTTTATGATGTCGTTGACTTCATTGTGTCTTGCATGCCAGCCCTTGGCTTTGGAACAGTTAAGACCATGTAGATCATATTGGTTGGCTTGTGCATCGACGCCAAATACACGTGTATTCCGTGTGAATTGGAGCAGCAAGGTGCAGAGCCACTTGAATACGGAAGGTCTTAGGGCCAAGGCGTGTTCCCATTGCAGAAATGGGAACTATTTGGAGGAAGTCCCTGGAGTGAGGTGCACTTACAGCTTGGAGACGGGCAGTCTCCCTGTCTGATGTTACCGCCCTAAGCATGTTGGCAGGCACCTTTTCAGTGATGGGGCCATCCCAACTTGACTGTTTGTAGGCTCCACTAGGTTTTTGGTGCTGGAGCAGCAAGAGTCTCCCATTCAGTGATGGCACAGGCATAGCTAGGGTCCTGTATTCCTGCTGAGTCACTGAGGTTGTCTGGAAGAATTTTTATTAACTCATTTGAAGCTGTGGAAGACGATAGGAAAGCTGGTAGGGCAGTCTGGGAGGATTTGTGTACTCCGAGCCCCCCAAGCGTGACTGGAAGTAAGGCTTGCAAACACTGTCCATCTTCGAGGGAAAGATTCGATGCATTCTCTAGCATGGTCTTAAGAAGAGATTCATATTCCTTGAGTTTTGGGCCGCTGAAGGTTGGGGAACATCTCAGGAAGTATGTAAGTTTCGGGATTGACAGGCACCTAATGAGTAGGTAGAAGGCATCATGTGTATCGATGTCTTTCATCCTGCCTTCAATCGTCCTGAAGGGTGAGATTTTTTTTTCTAGGTTCAGATCGATGGCACTGGACCCAACAGGAGCACCAAGAAGAGTGTTGTTGGCTGGATCAATGGCTCGTGCTCCTGGTAGAACAGCAGTAATATTTCGGATCATCTATCGATTGGTAGAAACTATTTCACATTTGGTGGGGTTTAAAGATAGGCCCAGGCTCTCTCCCATGTCTTTAATTTTTCTGATGTCCTCTAGGAGGGATTCTGTAGTGCCAGCTAGGATACCATCATCCAATAACCAGATATTGAGCACATTAGAGAGTGCTTCTGTGACTTCCTTGATGACCAGACAGAAGAGAAAGGAGGCAAGAGGGTCCCCCTGCTGAACATCCTCACACCAGTCAATTTCATGGTCCCCAAACAACAGTTTGGAGGTCGCACTATAACACGATGCAATGAAGGGACAGAGGGAAGGGAAGTGTCTAGTCTAGAAACTGCTTTGAGAGCAGCATCCCTGCTGACTAAGTTGAAAGCGTTGGCAAAGTCCAATTTGATCAAGGCTTTTTCATCGGACATGTTGTTGATGTATACTCGTGCTTCATGGGCAGCTGCTTCACAGCCTTGTTGAACACCAAAACCGAGCAGAGTTGGTTTCACCACCGAGGCAGCCTCTTTACTCACCATTCTCACAGCAGCCTTGGCGACTAGGCACCGAAGGGTGTTGCCCACTGCAATGGGCCTTATTCCTCCATCCTTCCTCCGGAGGGCACTCAGTGAGTCACCAAAGAAAAGGTATCTAATGGCCTCTGAGACACTGCCAAGCCAGACACACATTGGAAAATTTGGTGAGTTCAGACAGCAACCTCTCTGAAACCTCACCAAGTGCTGGACTGAGCATTTGTTTTAAGTGTTGTGGCCTTAAACCAGTGAAACCTCCTGCTGAGCCTTGTGGAAATGACATAGCAGCTTTATACACATCAGCATCCTGTAAGGCTAAATGTTATTCACCTGCTGCAATGTCAGGGAGGTCAATGATGGTACTGGGAGCCCTGGGTGGATGTTTATACTTCAGGGCTTGTGCCGTACTAACGTCCTTAGGAGCGATGGTATCCTCACTGGTTATAAGTCTCAGTGTTCCAATAGTATTACCCTCTTCTATTTTTTTGCTAATTTGTGCTCTGATTTTTGAGGCGTCAGGTGTCTTGTTGTTTACACACAAAATGTATGCAGCACCACAAACTGGCTCACTGGCTCACTGGCTCCCTCCTTCCATATATATATATATATATATATATATATATATATTATATATATATATATATATATATATATATATATATATATATAAATATATATAATATATAACGTGTGTGTGTGTGGGTGATGCACATACATAAATAACACCAATATGCATCATAGTTGTATTATGTTTAGTTTTGTATTATGTTTAGTTAAGTCTAGGAGCAAACTTCTAAATATCACTTCTCATATTTCTTCGTTTTCTTCTACGGCCTAACTTGTTAGCTGCCCATTTTCAGTAATTTATGAGCACTAGACAAAGTGGTCATCATTGCTCGTCAGTGTTGAGCACCGTCGTCTTGTTTCCTGGCTCCCTGGTTTTGTTTTATTTGATCCCGTTAAGGTAAGGTAGAATTAACTACTAAAAATATTTATTCTTAATGAATAAACAACTTTTACTTTCAATTTAAATTCAAGAGAATTATAATCTATAAACAAATGCAGACTATTGAAGAAACTAAAAAAAAAAGAAACTGCGTTTTTCTCTTGCGTTTATATTTATCCACCCTGATGAAGTGTTACTGTGTAAAGATCCTGTATAGCTTATAACACTGTGTGAAGTTAACAGAGTCACTTGATCTCTAGGCTTAAGGAATGATGTATCTTACAGCACTGTTAGTTTGGTCTATGAAGATACAAAGTTTACATATTACAAATATTAAATAAAATGGAGTTGTTATATTCCGAGCATTAACAAAGAAATTCTTTTTGTGACTGGCTTAAAATTTCAACGATAGTGTATTTTACGGAAATAAAGGTTGATATTTACTTTCAGCTTCGTCAGACTTAATTTGTAAATTTTGTTTACCAGATTGTTATCCTTGCAGCAAATGCAGAATACTTTTTCTGATCGACTTCAGACTCTAAACACTCATGTATCTTAATTAGAATTTTGTTTCCAGTGATTTTCTGCTACGTGGGTAAAAGTATTGTTAAAGTTACAGTTTCTTAATAAACAAAATAACTATTTTTATTGAATTTAAAAAGGTTTTTATATAGAATATAACTGAGACAAGAAAGCTAGTGGTGTTCAGTAACTAGGACACAGGCCAGATAAACATCACTCTCTGGTCTGCCATCCCCGCCCCAAGGGAACTAATGGGAATGACAGTCTTATGAGCTAAAGGCTCAGGCTCAGGTACCTACCCTACCCTAGAAGGGTTAATCATGGTGTCGATCGGGGAATGTATCTAGGCATTGGAAGCGAGTATGCAAAGTTTTGTATAAAAGCAAAGATGACAAAAGATAATGTAAGAATAATAGGGAAATAAGCGTGTTGATAATACCTGGTAAGGTATGTGATAGACATGTTATTAAAAAGAATTAGCGGTAAGACGTAGAAGAGAATCGCAAATGAACAAGAAGGCTTTAGGAAGAGTAGGGGATGTGTAGACCAAGTGTTTACATTGTAGCATTTAATTCAACAGATAAGTGTAAAGAAGTTTTTATTGCATTTAGGATTTGGAAAATGCATATGACAGAATGGATAGGGGAGCAATGTGGCAAATGTTGCAAGTGTATGGAATATATGGTAAGTTATTGATATCTGTTAAGAGGTTTTACGAGGATAGTGAGGCTCAGGATAGGGTATGTAAGACGGAGGGAGATTATTTTTCTGAAAAGTAAACCTTAGATAGGGACACAAGATGTCACCATGACTGTTTAATATATTTATAGATGGGGTTATAAGGAAGTGAATGAAGGGGTCTTAGGGAAAGGTGTAAGATTAGAAAATAAAGAATCTAACGCAGTTGCTTTTTGACGATGACAGTGTCCTTTCGTTCTGAAGAGAAGTTGCTGGACAAATTTGGAAGGGGATGTAAAAAAGGGAAATTAAAAAGATAACAATGGAACGAACACGGAGACAACAATAGAAAAAATAGAAACTGAAAGATTAGATACAGTGAGTACGGAGGAAGTGAACTGGTTCATATATTTGGGAATGGACTTGTCAGCAGATGGGTCTGCGAAAGACAAGGCGAGCCATGGAAATAAGCGGTAAAAGGTTAATGGTGCTTTGAGGATTCTGTGGAAACGCAGAACGTTTATCTCTGGGGGCAAAACGGAAAGGCTTGAGAGTATTGTGGTACCAATGCTCTCACATGGTTGTGAAGCTTGGGTTGTGAATGTTGCAACAAGAAGGCTGGTAACAGTAGAGATGTCGTGTTTGAGGGCAATATGTGGTGCGAATATTATGCAGAAAAAAAGCGTATCCTGAAGATTAGAAGGAGATGGTGTGGGGTTATGGAAAGTATTATCCAGAGGGCTGAAGGGAGGTTGCTGAGGTGGTTCATGCATTTAGAGGCGAAGGAACAAAAAATAATGACTTGGAGGGTATATAAATCTGTAGTGGAGGTAAGGCAGGGTGTGTGAGAGTGTGTTAGATAGGAGTGAAGGCAAGTGGTTTTCATGAATTGACGTGTTGTTTGTGATCAAATTAACATTTAAGACAGGATTCAGGAAAAGTGGCTAGCTGGACTTGAATCCTGGAAGTGGGAAGTACATCGCCTGTACTCTGAACTAGCAGAGGGGATATTTGCAGTTTTGAATTGTAGTATCGGTGCCCCTCTGGCAAGACAGTGATAGAGTAATGTTATAAGTTGAAGGCACTTCTTTAGTATATAATTTGCATTTTACCAGAATTATCTAAATGACTTTCATTAACATTAGTCTATTGGTTTCTGTGGAAAATTTTAAGAAAAATCTCCAGAAAAAATAATATTTTCTTTTATAACACCATCAGTGGTAAGTATGAATTAGACTTAACTCCTTAAGAATAACAGTTGTTCATATTTAAGCATATGCATACATGTATGTTTCGTTCCAAATACAGTGGCCCCTGGTCTGGTGGCTAAAGCTCTCGCTTCATACGGTGAGACTCCAGGTTCGGTTCCCGGGGAAGGTAGAAACATTGAGAGTGTTTCCATACACAGGTTGTCGCTATTCACTCAGCAGTAAAATTGGTACCTGGGTGATACTCAACTGGCGTGGGTCGCATCCTGGGACAAAGTTGATCTAATTTGGCCGAAATGCTCAGCATAGCAAGCGGCTTTCTATATAATAGTATGAAATTGATGTCAGCTAGGCCTATATGCATGTACCTTGTACATGTACTTGTAGAAATAAAAATATTATTATAAATAAACCGAACAGACGAGTTGGGCCTATTCATCAACGCCGTTTTCTGTCAAATAGCCAGAGGGAAAATTTGTTTCCGACAAAATTCTTCTATTTTCAATTTGAGCATAGCGAAAAAATATATATCATAGATTTTAAGTAATATTAAATAAATGTAAACTGACCTATGATGTATACCTATAAAAAGTAACGTAAATTTAAGTGAGGCTAGTAAGTTATTTCTGTCCAAAAATTTAAGTATTTATATCAATGAAAATATTCTCTCTCAGTCTGTAAAACATTTTTTTGGAAAAGCTTAATAATAATAGGGAGTTCAGTATATTCAATAAGCTCCCTGATTACACGAACTTCCACTCTGGCAATGAGACAGTGAAGGATGTTACCTGCAGTGGTGGGTTTGATTCCCCCATCATTGTTTTTCAGTGCTCATAATTCTAAAAAGAAATGTTTAATTTCTTTAGGAATCCTCTCCACTCATCTGCCCCCCAGGGCAGTTGGTGATGAAGGCTGTTAACTCAGAAAGGAGAACTGATGCACCTGTGCCAAGCACTGGATTTAGCTGCTCTCTGATGTGTTGTGGTCGTATTCCAGTGTAACCTCCAGAAGATCCTGCTGGAAATGACACAGTCGCTTTATTAACTTCTGATTCCGGCAAAATGAACGGCTCAGTGATGGGATCATCAGTAGGGTTGTTGTTATTGATATCGGTCATCCTGGGTAGATGCTTGTCTCTTACTGTGTGCACTGTGCCTTCATCTCTAAGAGCAATTGTGTCATAACTTCTGATTGTTCTGATTGCTCTCATTGTGTCGTTTACTTCGACTTTATTTGCTAACCTGTACACACATTTTCCCACTTTCAGTGGATTTTTTCTTCGGGGAGGAGGTCTCTTTCTCGGTGATTGGTGTGGTAATAGGACAGAGGGATACAAATATCTGTTAAACAATTTAATGCTGTAACAGATAATAGGGTAGGTGCATATTGCTCTGATCACTAATATGGTTAGCGATTTGTAGCCTCTTGCAGGAACTAGACAAAGATTGCCAAACAGAAGCAGGTTGTGCGATGCATTGATGGTGTCTCAGGCTTCTAAGTTGTGGAACCTCTATTTACCTGCTTTACAATGTCTACGAATTTTTCTGTTGCACATGAACGAGGAGCTTTATGGATACGAGATAGGGTCCTACTAGAAGGCGATCTGAATGTTATCAAGAGTCATTGCAATTGAGGAGGTGACCAGCGGAGTTTTAGTTGCATGTAGAGGCAGTGCGCTTCATGCTGACACAGCACATTGTATGCGGAATTAACCCTGCTTCTAATGAGGGCCCGATATGCTCCACACACCAGGCATGTGCCTTATCTCTCGTTGTTAGCTGCACTCTTTTCCTATATTGTAGCTGGCTAGCTGCAACATACGTCATTTGGGTGAGAGCAGGAAAACCTAGGAGGAATAATTCAGGCTACTTAAGACAAAATATTTGTTCTGATCTCTGGGTCTGAAAAGTGAGCATAGGCACCTTATAAATGGGGCTTGACTCTCTAGGGAAAAGATAAGGTTACTCTATGTATCTCATACAAATGGATCCTATATACATGGCTCAAGGGGCTAATGAAACATCTCTAGATAAAATAGCTTAAAATTTAATAAAGAAACACACATTTCATTGAAATGTGAAGTTCGACACCTGCAGTAAAAAAATATTTACAAGCACCAATGTTAGGAAACATAAAATCATTCATAAGTACAGTCGGGTATAACTCGCTATACCAGAACACACCTAATTATCTCATATATATGATCATAGCCACGTAAAAATTATGGCTGTCACTTCACAGATTTCCAAGGAACTTCCTTACCTTATTATGCTGTATCTGGGTACTTCCCTGATACATTTTTCTTATACATTCTTTTTTCAGGCTACATAAATCATGGATACTAAATGAAACACAATTAATATGAAAGAGTTTAGAGAGTTTTAGCCTTAAAAACTGGAAAGTAATTATGGTAGAAAACAGGATGAAGACAAATTACCAGAGAAACAGTTTTACACCACATCTCTGATAAGTAACAGCAGAAACTAGTAAAGTACTAGAAGGAAAACAGATTTAAAAATAATTAGTACGAAGACTAAGCTAGGATAAAAGAGGCTAGTCGCATGGTAATACATGAGCTAGGATAGAAGAGGATAGTCACATGGTTATACA